ATCCTGGGGTAGTGTAGATTCTAAATTGTTCAAATCATGACCCCCGGGGGTAGGGAGGGGCCACAATAGGTATTACAAGGGGGGAAGTCTGGTAATGAACAGCATGACCAAAGTTACTCAGGTGAGCGATGTGGCCCATGGGCCTCTTGTTGTAAAAACATTGGCCATGCAGTCAGTTTGAAGACGGTAACCTGTGGCCTACTAACAATAGCGTCTATAATTAGCATGTGTTTACCCCAATTATTATGAAGCTCAAAGAATTTCGCTAACACTGTACATTAATTAAACAATAATCCAATCAAAATCAAATTGCTAATCGTATAAACATTGGTAAATTCATGACAATTTTAGAGGGTTAACGTTGTACAAAAAAAAAATAAAGAATAAATTACGAGCAATTTCTTAATGGTCTTGATCATATCTTTTTTTTCTAAAGACTCTAAGTTTGAATATTTCTATCACAAAAATACCTTGAAAAGCTTAATCTACTTATATACGTTTATAGACAGTAGTACATTAAATGGAAATATATTTCTTCAACTATGTACCCTTTTTAACTGTCTTGTGGGGAAAAAAGCGTTTTAAGGGGGCCGACTGGGGTTTTCATTGCACAATACTTCGCGCAGCATAGTAAAATAAAGCATATATACTCTTTTAAAGCAACTATTTTTACATAATTTATAAAAAAATAACAAATTTAGGAAATACGAGGTTAAAAAATCTAATTATGTGTTTAAATAACTGATTTTTTTAACGATTTTTCAAATGATGGGTAGAAAGACGTCGTAATAGTGTGTTTTTGACGTTATGAATAACCAAAGTTCTTTAAGCGGGGTCATTAATTATGCCATAAAATAAAAAGTATAAAATATATGCTCTTGAAATTTTAAACATAGGAAATTGAGAATATAGCAATCATTGTTATTATTTTTTAAGTCAGTCCGTGGTATCTGTCATGTTTTGTTGTACTCCATAAAAACCGGAAAATATCATGGATTTTGATATTTTGAGATGCCCCCTCTGGAAACCAGACGGTAGAATTTTGTGTTTCTTGCAGAAAATGTACAATATAGTATTACTCATCAAATAATAAAATTTGAGCAAAAAGTCTATAGTAGTATTTGTATAATTTGCTCCGAAGTGCGAAAAAAAATGGTATTTTCCTATATAATCCTGTAGTAAATGTACCTGTATTTTGAGACGGTCCCTCAAAAATAACCAGACAGGAGATTTTCACTAAACTTGGCATGTATACTGAAGTCAATGTAAGGTATATATGGTATAAAATTAAAGAGTTTCTCTATAGTAGTTTTCACACAATAAAACCCCAGTCGGCTCCCTTAAATACATTTACGTTTTTAGAAATGGAAAATCGTATTTTAAACTAATGCTGATAATCATTAAGATGGCTTGTGTTTATGTTGAATGTTTACAATACTTTCACTGATTGCGCGTGTTTGAGTTAGCTTGCAGTGGTCAGTTACTATAGTAGCCCTGTGTAAAGAATATACGGGAATATATGGGGTTATTTTATTTTCAAACATTTTAAATGATGATGCTGAACAGTTCTGCCTTATCAAATGAGCTTCAATAATTATAAAACATGGCGAAATAAAACAAAGTAGATCAAAATTTATCCAGCCCATAAATTCACATGCCAAAGAGAATGCGAATAAAATTCCCTGTGTGAAAAAAGGAGGTCACAGCATAAAAATGCCTATCGATTTCTTTTGGTGTAAATTACATTTTAGTTTATATTTTTTTCTTTAATTACTAACTTCTTTTAGAGCCAAAATATTAATGTTTTTTTTTTCTTTGCCTTCACATTTGATACCAGTATGAGCATATACACATGCTTAGAGAAGGTTTTATTTAGAAGTGATTCACTTATCCGGATGATTCATTTATCCGGACGATTTCGTTGGGGACGGAGGCGTCCGGATAAACGAGGCGCCACTGTACATAGAAATATATAGGAAAAATCTTTAAAAATCTTCTTTTCAAGAACAGTAAAGCCATGATGAGTCATATTTATATGGAAGCCTCCTCAGGTAGTGTAGATTCAATTTTGTTCAAATCATGATCCTCGGGGGTAGGGCGGGACAACAATGGAGGATTAAAGGTTTACATAGAAACATATAGGAAAAATCTTTAAAAATCTTCTTTTCAAGAACAGTAAAGCCATGAAGAGTCATATTTATATGGAAGCATTGTCAGGTAGTGTAGATTCAAGTTTGTTCAAATCATGACCCCCGGGGGTAGGGCGGGGCCACAATGGAGGATCAAAGTTTTACATAGAAATATAGAGGAAAAAATCTTTAAAAATCTTCTTCTCAAGAACAATAAAGCCATGAAGAGTCATATTTATATGGAAGCATCCTCAGGTCAGGTAGTATAGATTCAAGTTTGTTCAAATCATGATCCCAAGGGTAAGGGTGAGGCCCAATGGGGGATCGAAAGTTTTACATAAGAACATATAGAAAAAAATTTCTTCTCAAGAACAGAAAAGCTATGTTAGTCTTATTGATATGGAAGCCTCCTCAGGTAATGTAGATTCAAGTTTGTTCAAATGATGACCCCTGAGATAGGGAGGAGGTACAATGGGGGATCAATTTTTTACAAAGAAATAAATGGGAAAATTCTTTTAAAATCTTCTCAAGGACAACAAATTCATTTGTTATATTGACATGGAAGCATCATCAGGTAGTTTAAAATTCAAGCCCCCCCCCCCCCCCCCCCCCCCGTTCATTACTCATTACTGAACTGATTTGTGCCTTAGTCTAGCCAATGTGCTCAGGTGAGCGATGTGGCCCATGGGCCTCTTGTTTTCTTTTAAAACGCTTGTGAAAATGAGACTGACATGGGAATTTATTTTAACAAACATGACATTGACGGCAATTTCATACTTTAAAAAGAGAAATTAAAATCTTTTTGTAAATGTTCAGTTTTCCATTTGCTCTGAGGAAAAGCTTCATGCTAACCTTAAACAATTTTCAGTTTTACATAACTCTATCAATATAAATTATATTATATATATATATGTATACAAATAGTCTATTTAGTATATCTATTATAGATATACTTTAAATATGACATCGAAGAATATTTGAATATGAATAGAATAGTTGTAACGAATATATTCGAATACCCGGTAGTGATTTTTAGCTCACCTGAGCTGAAAGCTCAAGTGAGCTTTTCTGATCACCTGTTGTCCGTCCGTCTGTCTGTAAATGTTTCACATTTTCAACTTCTTCTCAAGAACCACTGGGTCAATTTTAACCAAACTTGGTACAAAGTATCCTTGGGTGAAGGGGAGTTTAAATTATTAAAATAAAGGGCCAAGTCCCCTTACAAGGGGAGATAATCAAGAAAAGACAAATATAGGGTGGGGTCATTAAAAAATCTTCTTCTCAAGAACCACTGGGCCAGAAAAGCTGAAACTTATGTGGAAGCATCCTGGGATAGTGTAGATTCAGAATTGTTTAAATCATGACCCCTGGGGGTAGGGTGGGGCCACAATAGGGAATCCAAGTTTTACATTGAAATATGTAGAAAAAATCTTTAAAAATCTTCTTCTCAAAGAACCACAGGGCTGGAAGAGCTGAAACATAAGTGGAAGCATCCTGAGGTAGTGCAGATTCTAAATTGTTCAAATCATGACCCCTGGGGGTAGGGCGGGGCCACAATAGGGAATCCAAGTTTTACATTGAAATATGCAGAAAAAATCTTTAAAATTCTTCTTCTCAAGAACCACAGGGCCAGAAAAGTTGAAACTTAAGTGGAAGCATCCTGGGGTAGTGTAGATTCTAAATTGTTCAAATACTAATGCCCTGGGGGTAGGGCGGGGCCACAATAAATATTACAAGGGGGGGAGAATCCGGTGAAAAACAGCAAGGCCAAAGTGACTCAGGTGAGTGTTGTGGCCCGTGGGCCTCTTGTTTTATGAATCCGATGTCAACTTCCTGTTTATCTGTGCATTTGTCCATAACATACATAAAAAATTTGGGTCGCAGTTTTCTCAGCAACTACTCATCGCAGATGCTTGAAATTTTAACACACTCTTTGTTTAGGCATGCTATATGTTGGAATTCATTTTTGTAGAAATCTGATGTCAATTTCCTGATTATCACTGTGTCTGTCCATAACTGAACTTGTGTATTCACATCAGAGGATGGGTATTATTAGTGAGCACTGGCTCACAGACTTCTTGTTGGCTTAGAATCACCTTGGGTTCTCAGAGTGTTTCATCTAAAATGTAGGTCATGATGACCTACGTTTGGAATTTCAAGGCTTTATCTAAATATACAGGATAGAAATGATAGGTTGTACAGTTTATCAGAAGAGTGATTCAAGGCCCTCGGGCCTCTTGTTTACTTTCCAAAGAGGGTCATGGCTCTGACCTTTTACATGTTGGAGGTTGGCATGAATGCTTTGTGAAGGCATTAAACAAAATGAATTTCCTATGGTGGAGATTGTATACTAGAAAAACCTTTTTTTTGCTAAACTCATAAATATTGTTTACTAGTCATAAAAAAGTCTTGACAATGATAGACATTTTATGCTTTCTATTTGCAGTTGGATGATGGTAAGATTGATATGAGTTTACAAGTGAGTTCATCAACATTGTCACCAGAAGTATCAGAACTAAACTCTGCTGAAGCAGATTCCGAGGAAGAAGATGCATTGTCAGGTAAGCCAGATGCAATTAACTGTACTTTTTTGATAATATACATACTTTTTTTTAATTTACCAAACAGTATAACTTCATTATTTTCCTAATCATGTATTAATTACGGATGGTTTACTAGTTTCTCAATATGACCCTTCATTAGATATTTGGATAAATGTTATGTTTCATAGCTGTGAATGGAGATTAACAGTAGAACTTAGTAAATGTTTAGATTATGTATATCCATCTAGGAATTTTTAAAATCTTGGCTTCATGCTTCCTCATCTTTTATGAGAAAGTTGGTGTAAGAATAATTAGCTTTTAATTTTCTTGTTTATGCAGCTCCTGAGATAATTTCAAAGAAGACTGTTGGTGATAAAAAAAAAGAACCAAAAAGACCCTGTCCATTTTGCATGAAGCTGCAGTCCTCATTAACAAAACACATACAAAGATGTCACAAAAACGAAGAGGAAGTTAAAGCTGCAATGAACCTTCCAGGACTAGAAAGGAAACGTGCATTTAGAAGCATGAAAAGGCAAGGAATATTTAAATACAATGCACACATATTGAAGTCAAAGGATATAAATGAGGAATCCATGAAAGAATTGTTGAAAGAAAGGGATCAAGGCACTGACAAAGAATTAGCAATGTGTTCACTCTGCAAGGCTTTTATCAGCAAGAAACTAATGTACAAACATGTCAGAAATTGTAAAGTTGCAGAGGAGACTACCTCACCTCCTACTAGGGTGGTATTGAGAGTGCTTCAAGAACAAAGTTACCCACAGGACTATATTCAATTCTTAGAAACATTTCATAAAGATGAGCCAGGACAAATTATAAGAAGTGATGAATTTCTGAAAGAATTTGGACATGTCGAGTTTCAAAACTGGAAGGGGTCAACTATCAAAGCAACAGAAAAGTTGAATACCTTAAGATCCAAATTAAGAAGATTAGCCAGGCTTTTCATTAATTTCAAAAGTATGGCTTTAGAAAGTGGCATAGAATTAAAGAGCTGTGCTGATATGTTTAAAGTAGGTACTGCTAAATTGTTTTCTGCTGCTGTTCAAAAAATGACAAATTTTGACTCTGAAGTAGATGACCTAAAATGTGGACTGAAGGTGGGATTAAAATCTTTGATAGTTGAAGTTTGTGATACACTGTATGCTACCTATTTGATAAAGAGAGAAGAACTTTTGGCAAAAGAAGTAAAAGAGTTTCAGGAAGTGTTGAAAGTGTACTGGAAGTATTTTTTCATCACAGCTAGAGAGGTGCTGATGAATAAGATGCACAGCCAGTCTAGAGCTCCTACACGTCTGCCTACTATTGAAGAATACCAGAGGTTGCGAGACTTTACAAAGGAAAAAATTACAGAAATAGTCGAGGATATTTATACACCAATGAATCAGGGAATATTTTGTAATCTAAGGAATTTGATAGCCTGTAGACTTACATTATTTAATGCAAGGAGAGGAGGAGAGGCAACGAGATTGACAATATCAGAGTTGGAAGAAGCTTTTAGTAATAAATGGGCAGACAAAACATTTTTCCAGAAAATCGATGAAGATATTGAAAAACTAATGTGCAAAATAATATGTGCTTATCTTCATTCATCCAAAAAATTAGAACTTGTATCAGTAATAATACCAGATGACTGTTGGAAAGGACTTGAAATGCTTAAAGATGTTGAGAACAGAAAACTTGCAGGTGTTCATCCTAAAAATAAATTTATCTTTGCAAATACGGAAAACTCATTAGATCATGTGAATGGATGGCAGAGTGTTCATAAAGTTTGTAAAAATGCCGAAATGAAAAAAAATATAACTGCAACTGATATGAGGCATTACGTAGCTACTTATTATGAATCCCTGGATGTATCTCCAGAGGAAAGGGACTTTTTTATACGGAAGCACTTGGGACATTCAAAGTTCATTAATGAAAATATTTACCAATGCCCACCAGCTATAAGGTTAATGGAAACTGCAGGGAAAGTCTTGTTAACATTGGATTCATATGAAGGTATGCACTCATTATAAAACATATTGTGACAATTGGTGCCCTTTCATATGTCTAGAAATATTTTGTAGGGCTCCTTAAAGGTGCTTAGACACAGATTTGAAGTTAATATTTACTCAAATTTTCTGTATAATTTCATGACTTATATGTTGCTTTAGCATTTCATATGAAAATTTGATAAAAATCTTATTTAATCTGGAAGTTATTGAAACTTATTTAATCTGGAAATTATTGAAACTACGAATGATTAACACATTCTTGCACTTTCACAATTTTTAACTCTTATCCTTAATACTTAAGAAAAGTAGCAATTTTGTTGTGTATTAATGAATAATATTACATCTATAATCCAGAAAATTCAGAGTAAAAATGTGCGAAAGCAAAACCCACTCGCTTAAGCATTGTCAGCCCATGCTCAGTGTTGTGTAGTTGTGTACAGAGTTTAACAAATTGAATACACCGGTGAAACGTAAACTGTTTTTGTAAACAGGGCACAAGCTCTTTCGTTGTTATTGTTTACGTTTCACCGGGTTTGTTCAATTGTTAAACTCTGCACACACCACTGAGCACAGACTGACAATACTGGTGAGAGGATTTTGCTTTCTACATTTCTACTCTGGAATTTCTGCATTATGGTTTTAATATTTTTCATTAATAAACAACAAAATTGCTATTTTTCTAAAGTACTAAGGATAAAGTTAAAATTTTTGAAAGTGCAAGGATGTGTCTATCAAACGCGTCCCAAAATTCGTAGTTTCAATAACTTCCAGATTAAATAAGTTTTTAATTTTATTTTCGTGTGAAATTCTATAGTAACATATAAGTTGTGATATTGTACAGAAAATTTGAGAAAATATAAACTTCAAATCTGTGTCTAAGCACCTTTAATGAGATTTGTAACCTTAGGATAAGTTTTTTTTAAAAAGGTGGATTGCATTTAATATTTATTTATTATGCCCCTTGAAAGAAGGGAGGGCATATTGCTTTGCTGCTGTCTGTTGTCTGTCGGTCCATTAACAGTTGCCATTCATTTTCTTCGCAGATGTTGCACATACTGAAATGGTTTACAGATTTATCAGTAGAATATCTAGCTCAATTTCTGTTTTGGGTACAATCGAGCAATTTTTGACAGAGTTATGCCCCTTGGACTTAAAAAAATTCCAATTATTTGCAGATTCCTTTCATTTTCTTTGCAGAGGTTGCACATACTGAAATGAAATTTGTATACAGATTTATCATAAAAATATCTAGATCATTCTGTTCTGGGTACAATCGAACAATTTTTGACAGAGTTATGCCGCTTGGACTTAGAACAATTCCAATTATTTGGGGGAGGGGGGGGGGGGCATAAGTGTTTCACAAACATCTCTTGTTAGAACTTAGAATACAGCCAATGACATTTTTCAAGGTTGTATGATTTTGGTTTGGCCTGTCATAACTTTGACTTTTAGAGATATAAACTGTAATGTACATAACTGATGGAATAAGATTGAAGTAATTAAAGAGACAGGGTTTGTATGCTCTTGAGAGGTTGTATGTACTTTTTTAAAATATTGTTAGCTCCCCTGAGTTGAAAGCTCAAGTGAGCTCTTTTTAATCATCCTTTGTTCATCAACTGTCCCTCCATCTGTCTATAAACTTTACACATTTTCAAGTTATTCTAAAGAACCACTGGGCCCATATGCATTTTAACCAATGTAGGAATAAAGCATCATTTGGGAAAGGTGAGTTTAAATTGAAAAGTGAAGGGCCAAGCTCCCTTTCAAGGGGAAATAATCTAAAAGAGACAAAAATAGGGTGGGGTCATAACTCAAGAACCACTGGTCCAGAAAAGGTTAAACAAATGAGAGGTAGTGAAGATTCTAAATTGTTTGAATCAAGCCCCCCCCCCCCCCCCCCCCCCCCCCCCCCCCCGGAGGGGAGGGGAGGACCCAATTGGGAATAGGGAGTTTTACAATGAAATATGTAGAAAAAATCTTTAAAGAAGCACTGGGCAAGAAAAGGTGAAACTTATGTGGAATCTTTCTGAGGTAGTGTAGATTCTAAATTATTTAAGTCATGGCTCCGGGGGATAGGGTGGGGACACAAGAAGGATCCAAGTTTTACATTGAAATACATAGGAAAAATCTTAACAACCACTAAGCCAAGATTTTAAAAGTTAATTTGTTTAAGCTTCCTGAGGTAGTGTAGAATCTGAAATTTTTTAAAATCATTGTCCCAAGGGTAGGGTGGGGCCACAAAAAAGAAGCAAAGTTTTACATTGAAATAAACAGAAAATCTTTAAAAATCTGCTTCTCAAGAAGCACTTGCCTAGAATAGATGAAACATAAGTAGAATCTTTCTGAGGTAGTGTAGATTTTTAATTTTTCAAATCATGGATCCAGTGGATAGGGTGAGATCACAATAGAGAATCAAAGTTTTACATTGAAATGTATAGGAATAATCTTTTCTTCTCAAGAACCACTGGGCAGGAAAAGATGAAACTAATGTGGAATCATCCTGAGGTAGTGTAGATTCTAAATTGTTTAAATCATAACTCTAGGGGTAGGATGGGGCCACATTAAGGAAAAGTTTTACATTGAAATGTATAGGGAAAAAATTCTTCTCAAGAAACACTGGGCCAGAAAAGATGACACTTATTTGCAAACTTTTTGAGGTAGTTTAGATTATGAATTGTTCGAATCATGTATCTGGGAGTAGGACATGGCCATACTATGGGATCAAATTTTAACATTCAAATGTATAAGAAAATCTTTAAAAATCTTTTTCTGAAGAATAACTGGACCAGGAAAGATGAAACTTGGGTGAAAGGGTGTGGGGTCGGCCACAATAGATAATTTAAGTTTAATATTTAATTTATTTCAAGTACAGCAAAGCCATGATTAGTCCTATAAATGTAGAAGCAACTTTAGGTAGTGTAGATTCAAGTTTGTTCAAATCCTGATCCCCTAGGGGTAGAATGGGGCCACAATAGACAATCAAAGTTAACATAGGATTTTTAGGTCACCTGAGTCACTCAGGTGACCTATTGCTATCTGTTTTCATCCGTCGTCGTGAGTTGTGTGTTAACATTTGAACATTTTTAGCTTCTTCTCTGAAACCGCTTAACCAATTTCAACCAAATTTGGCATATAGCATCTATGGGTGAAGGGGAACAAAAATTATGAATTTCATGGCCCCTGCCCTCCTGGGGCCTGAGGGGTTGGGCTTAAACCACCAAAATTAATGCAATCTTTAAAAATCTTCTTCTTTACTCCTGACATCAAGCAGTCAAACTGTTGACATGATTGTAATAAGCATTGAACCCTCTACCAAAATTGTGAAATTTATGGCCCCAGGGTCAGGGGTTCTGATGCTAGGGTGGGGCTATAAACAGTACCGACCGGACACAACCTAACACCAGAGTGAACCCAAAGCGCACCCTGGGTTCGCTTCCTGGGTTCGCTCGGGGTCCGCTGCGGGTCCGCTTTAAGAAACTTTGGGACCACTCTGGGTTCGCTCGGGGTCAGCTCTGGGTCTGCTAGAGCGAACCCGGCGTTTTCTTTCCGGGTTCGCTTTACGCACTCATGCGTGAAGCGGACCCCGCTTTAATCTTGCCGCCAGTAAGCCCCGTCCCTTGTATATTCCAAATACAGTAGTGAAATCGATCATTACTGTTTTTATGGCGATCGAAACATGTACATGTAAGTCACAATATGGAGAACGTTGATAAATTTTCAAGAATTTCCCCATACATTCGATGTAGAATAATCACTTTTATTTTTCTTAACTTACAAGCTAAGTATATCTCGAAAGAAAAAGATGAAAAGGTGTTAAATTTAATTACGATGTATCGGATTGAGTGAAATTGATAAGAGTATCTTAATAAAAAAAGCTTTCAAATTCATTTGTTTACATTATTCATGCGTTTTAAAATAAGTTGGAACTTCCAACTGTAATTGCAATTGCTAAATCGTAATTTAAGTGTTTGAAAGACAAACAACTGAATTATGATCTTATCTATGAAAAAGCTGAGACATACTGTACACGTTAAATGCTAAGTTTTCATGTTTAGCAGTTTATATTTAAGCTAGGTTGTCGTCCATTACATGTATATGTAGGTTGTGATAATCACTAAAAATTCTCATACAGTGTAGCTTGAGTTTCGTTTTACAGATCATTTATAATTTACTTCCATGCTATAAATCATTGTTTTATAAGGTGAGTTTAACGGAAGACTTATAAAAAAAACCCACCAACAACAATCAAAAAACCAAAACAAACAAACAAAAAGTAATAACTGGTCCACTGATAAGAATACATTATTTTTTTTTTAAAGTTGTTTTCAAATACATATAAATGATCACTTGAATAGTTTGTGTTCCTTACTGGTTCATGATCCCCCCCCCCCCCCCCCCCACTACATACATGTACATACTGGAGTGGCATGTTAAGAAACAAAATTCTAAATGTTTAAAAAAAAAATAAAAACAATAAAGAAAACAAACAAAACAAGAATTCATTAACTATAAACTCGCATGATGAAGTAGATGAAGTTAAGATAATAACGGCCGAAGTTTTTTTTTTTTTTTTTTATTTCAATGAGCCCCCCACCCCTCCCCGTACTTGAATTGTTTTCTATGGGCCGGTTGTAGCGATTTTAATTTCAAATAATATACAGTGTTCTCTCTCACATAAAGCTATTTTACTGATTTTCAGCATTCAGGTGGCAGCAAATTACATGAACATGTACTCTTCATGCAACGTACCAAAGAACTATGACGTTTCCAAATTCAAAAATCAAAAAAAAAGAAAAAAAAAGAATAATAATTGAATTTCTCATTGATAACGTGCCCAGACGAGGTACATGTAACTTAAGGGGCATCGAATGTAGGGGGAGTATATACTCAGGTATACCGTGACCATGGAGACAGTATACATCCAGCTAGCAAGTGTCAATTAAAAAAACCCACCGCAATTGCTCTTAGCACCCGCAATATCTTCGAAACAGGTGGATAATTACCGACACGTGATGACCTTGGCTTCACTTTGAAACTATAATTATTAAAGTGTTAAAATTAAATAATTATGACAATTACAAAGTTCAAATACAGGTAGCTATGTAATGAAAAAATATATGTACATTTTCGTATAAGGGTATCTTTGCAAGTTCAATTTACTAATGTTGGAATTACGTGTACTTTTCATGCACAAGTACAAAACATACCTGTCTAGTATTTTTTTATATCCATATAAAGTATTTCGAAAATTACATGCAAGAGGTTCATCAACAGGTAAACCTGTATAATTATATATATCGACGCAAAGGAAAGTGATAAGCATTTTTGCGTGTTTTTTAAAAAAAATTTTAATTTTTTTTTATTTTTTTGGACTGACTTGCAAGTAGTTACAAAAATTCAAAAACGTACAATGTAAGGTCTACATGTAGGATAATTAAAATTGACAAAATAATCTTTCCCTATATACATGTATTTAAATCAAGCTATTCATTAAATTTTGGTAAAAGATTAATTTTAAAAAATATCATAGTAGTTAAAAAAAATGAGATTTTTTTCTCCAATTTACGTATTGACATAATGCACATTTATACTGTACAATGTACATTTAATTTTTTGTTCATGATCAATTATTAAGATTGATAATTTCGATTTTGATCTGGATAAATTAAAACATGCATGTAAATTGAAATAATGAATAAAAAATAATTAAATTAAAGCACTATATGTTCTTAAACTTTTTCTTGAGATAATAAAATTCTATAATTTATCGAAGACCAGTTTTTTTTTTTTTTTTTTTTTTTTTTTTTTTACATGTAGTAACAATTGTTAAAACCATTTTGATCTTCTTTTTTCCTTTTATGAATTAAAGTACTTATTGTCTGATAAATTTACGCAATGTATATTTATATATTAAAGGATTTTAAAAATATAAAGAAAATAAATATGTAACTATACATGTAACATGCTACCTGGATAATAAAAATATATAATGTATTAATGGAAAAATAAAAAAATAATGAAAATAGATGTGTAAATATTGCAAGTTGTCTGGAGAATTAAAATATATAAATGCAAAATCATGTTTAAAAATCATATTAATAATATTTTTACACTGTACATTCACACGCTTTGCTTGTACAATGTTTAGATTACAAACTGGCATGTTGACTGGTCGATGCGCTGATGGTCAATGCATTTTATCACTTATCCTGATTGACAGACCTGTTCAGCATGTTGATTGGTCGATGCGCTGATGAGTTAATCGCTAATCCTGATTGACAGCTCTGTTACGCAACACCGAACACGCGTTCACTTTCTGGGACCGCTACTGAATTTGGGGTTCGCTTTCAGTGTTCACTCTGGGTCCACTCTGGGTTCGCTAAGGATGCGCTCCGGGTTCGCTCGGGGTCAGCACTAGTGGACCCCAAGCAAACCCTAAGCGAACCCAGAGAGCGAACCTGGGGTCCGCTCTGGGTTTACTTTCTGTTAGGTTGTGTCTGGTCGGTACTGTAGATCATATAGTGAAAGTGCATTATTTCTTTGAAAATCTTTTTCTCTGCTCCTGGGTAGGGTTGGATACCGTTAAGGATGAAACGGTACGATACCATACCGGTATTTTTAAAACAATACGGTATTTTTAACGATACGGTACTATACCTCGATTAATGAGAATGAGGGCTCATTTTATAACAAATGTGCTTTCACCAGTCTTCAACCATTCAATGTTATAATCTAAAATGAGTCTTTAAACTATGTTATATTCCAATCTTTTAATAAATTGTCAACAAAACAAATAAATTGAATCTCAAACAAATTAATTTAACTAGATACAGCTGACCGTTTCACCCAGTTGCCACTTGCCAGGACCCATTTTTGCTTAGTCGCACTAAACGACGAAACATTAAAAATGGATACATATGCACATCACATTTTTGCGACATTTTGCTTTTTTTTTTATTTACAATTATTATCAGTTTTTATAAATAAAATTAAAACACGATTAATGTGAATGTTTTTTTTTATTTTTAAATATACGTATTGATTTACCTCGAATATCGGCAGTCAAAAGCAAGTATTGTACTAAGCATCCAATTAGCCTACCCTTTCAATGCACGGAGAATTTTATTTTGGCGAGTCTGGAATCTCTTTTTTAAAAATCATTTTGAATGTATTAAAATGTTTCAAAGACTGAGAAATACCGTTATAAGCACCGGTATTAAATGAAACGGTATTTTACCGGTATTTTTGAAGTAACTATTCGGTACGGTATTGGTACCGTGTACCGGTATCCAACCCTACTCCTGGGTATTAAATAAAGTAACTAAGTACATACTTATGAAGAGCAAGAGTGCTTCTTCCTAAATTGTGAATTTCATGGCCCCAGGGTCAAGGGTTCTGGTTTTAGGGCAGGGCTATATTGATTTTATAGTGAAAATGCATTAATTCTTTGAAAATCTTCTTCTCTGCTAATGGGTATTAAATAAAGTAACTAAATACATAGTTATGAAGAGTAAGAGTGCTTCTTCCAAAATTGTGAATTTCATGGCCCCTGGGTCAGGGGTTCTGGTGTTAGGGCCGGGCTTTATTGATTATATAGTGAAAATGCATTAATTCATTGAAAATCATCTCTTCTCCTGGGTATTAAATAAACAATCTACGAACATATTTATGGTGAGCTTGGCTGTTTTTTTCAGAAATTGTGAATTTCATGGCCCCTGGGTCAAGGGTTCTGGTCTTAGTGCAGGGCTATTGTTTGGATGGCTTGGTTCGTAAAATATAACACCGAGTTCATATACACATGTTTATTCAATATGGCGCTAAAACTACACATACACATCAGGTCGTACATCAAAAGGTTACACATTGACTAGATAGTTCGTACGATAGCACATCTACTAAACATCTCCCCTCTGAAACTATATGACTAGGATTTCAAGGCAATTGACTAGAATAGAAACATAAGCTACAAATAAAACTCATCTTGCATGCATGCATTACTTGTTATATACAAATCAGAATATTATAACACAAAGAGTTCACAAATTCATTCGTAGTCTTTGAATCTTATGGGTTTGTGAACGACGCGACCTGAACGAGTTATGGTATTGGACTTCACGGGAGGTGGTGTAACTTCCTGGCTAGGCGGTTCAGAGGGTGGCTCAACATCAGATGAAACACTTGGTTTTCTGTCATTTAGCGGATACGGCAAGTTTACAGTAGGTGGCGATTCTGTATTCACATATCCAGTATGCTGCAAGTGCCTCCGATTTCTCCTCAATATTCCATGATCGGTTTCCACTAGGTATGATCGAGTTCTGTAATTTGCACTAGTGATTGTGCAGCTATCTGTCCACTGTTTCTCTTTGTCGGTCTTAATACGAACTTGGTCCCCTGGTCCAAGTGGATGGAGTTTCCTAACCCCAAATCAGTTGTCATACTGAAACTTGGTAGTTTCCTTCGTACGCGCGTCCTGTCTCCTCACCTGGTCCAAGTCCGGCCACTTTGGTACCAGTGAAGATGGTTTGACTGGAACAATGGTTCGAATCCTGCGTCCCATGATGAGTTCGGCTGGACTGACTCCTGTTGTTGATATGGATGTTGAACGGTACGCCATAAGCGCAACAAAGATGTCATCCTGCTGTAATATACGCTTCGCGGTCTTGACAGCCCTCTCAGCCTCGCCGTTTGCTTGTGGGTAGTGAGGACTGGTGGTTGTATGGGCGAATCCATACTTAGCTGCGAACTTCTTGAAGGAGTCTGACGTAAACTGGGTGCCATTGTCGGTTACCAATTCCTCTGGAATACCCCAACGAGCTAATATATTCTTGAGTTTTCCAATTACGTGAGCACTAGTCAACGAATCCAGGTACGCAATTTCCAGATAACGAGAAAAATAGTCTGTAACTACTAGGAAGTGTCTACCCTTCAGCTCACACAGATCTGCAGCAATCTTTTGCCATGGACGATCTGGAAGGGCTGTGGTCTTCAACGGTTCTCGTTTCTGTTTTGATTGATGAACAAGACAGAATTCGCAGGACTTAACAGTACGCTCTATGTCAGTTGAAATCCCTGGCCACCATACAGCTCCTCGCGCGCGTTCTCGGCACTTGTTCAGACTTAAGTGTCCAGAATGTATGTCTTTCAAGGTTTCTGGTCTAAGACCCTCCGGAATAACAATTCGGTCTCTGTACATTAGAATACCATTCCAGACAGACAGTTCGGATCGTGCGGAAAAGTATGGTCGGATTTCTGCTTTCAGTGATCTCTCATGGTCTGGCCACCAGTTCCGAGTCTTCTTCAAAACTTCAGACAACTCTGGATCATCTGCTGTTGCTAATCGAATGCGCTCTAGTCGTTGGTCAGATATCGGAAGATTCTTTACAACACAGTCTACATAAAGATTGACTTCCTCCTCTGTATCCTCAGCATTTCCAGTTAGCGGACTCCTGGAAAGAGTGTCGGGAACCACAAGATTTTTCCCTGGCACGTGTTCTGCTATTGGATTAAATCTGCGCAAACGCATCAAAAGTCTTTGACATCTCACCGGTGTCCTGTCTAGAGCTTGAGTGTTAATAAGCGGAACAAGAGGTTTGTGATCAGTGATGAGTTTGAATGAATCGAGTCCAATGATGTAGTGCTCAAACTTCTCACAGGCCCATACAGATGCTAAACACTCCTTCTCGATCTGTGCATATTTGGTTTCAGCCGGTGTTAGTGTCCTCGAAGCAAATGCAATGGGTTTAAGTTGACCATCAAACTGCTGAAATATGGCAGCTCCTAGGCCATAGCTGCTGGCATCTGCACTAATCACAACTGGCTTTGAAGAATTGTAGAAGGCTAATGCAGGTGTTTCTGTTAGCATATCCTTCATCCTTTTGAAGGCCTCTTCCTGGGGGTTGTCCCATATCCATACCGAGTCACTCTTCAAAAGGTCAGTAAGGGGGTGCATGACTGTAGAAAGATTTGGTAAAAATCGACCAAGATAATTCACCATTCCAAGTATTCTCTCCAGTTCAGTCACATTTGTTGGTGCAGCCAAATCGCGTATTGCACGCACACGTTCTGGACATGGACTGATCCCATCTGAACTAATCAAGTGTCCAAAGTATTCGATACTCCGTTTCCTGAACTCGCATTTGCTCTTGTTAAGTTTAAGACCAAGTTCCTTAATACGGTCCAGTACAAGGTCCAAACGCTCGTCATGCTCCTCCACTGTACTCCAGTATACGATGATATCGTCCATGATAGCATCTGCTCCATTGATATCTGCTAATATATCAGACATGCGACGCTGAAATATTTCAGGGGCTGATGTGATACCAAAAGGTACTCGCTGGAAACAGTATCGTCCAAAGGGAGTAGCCTTGCTCAACTTCGGGGCAATGTCATCCAAGTTGGGCAACATGTAATGTTCACGCTTGACTGCCTGATTCAGTTTCTTAAGATCAACACACAAACGAACATCCCCATTTTTCTTGAATGCTGTCACCATCGGTGCACACCAATCTGTCGGTTCTGTGACTTTCGCAATGATTCCAGCATTCTCCATTCGGTTTAGTTCTGCCTCGACCTTCGGCATCAATGGAAAAGGAATCCTACATGCTGTTGTGACACAATATGGAGTGGCTCCGGGCTTAAGCATCATCTTGGCAGGTGGGCCCTTAACGCATCCATGTGTACTGAACACATCCCGTATTTCCTCAATTTTCATCACGAGTCCCATACTGTGTGCAACACTTCGACTGAGCAAATTAGAACCACTGTTAGAGTTCCTAAGCACATACACTCGAAATGAAACTCAGTGTTCTTGTGAAAAGTCTTAGCAACGAACATCCCTTTACACTCTACTGACCCTCCTGGGCTGTACAATTGATTTGTTGAAGCCTGCAGTTTGGGCTTTACTGGCAATGAATTGTATGTCGCTTCGGTTATCACCGATGTGTCAGCACCAGTGTCAATCTTAAATGTAATGTACTTTCGACACACCTTCAGCTTTACCGTCCATGCATCTGTATTGTCCGACTCGCTTAGGTCAATTGAACCCATGTAAAATGAATCAGATGATGAACATACATCTTGAACTTCCTCTAAGTGCTTTGGTTTACTTCGACAAACTACCTTAAAGTGTCCCTTTTTCCCACATTTTAAACATTTCTTCCCTGATGCTGGACAGTTTCCAGGATTGTGCTTCATATTACACTTGTCACAATTATTGTAAACTCTTTCCTTAGCTTTAGGCTGTCTGCTGTAATTTTGTTTAGGGTGTTGTCCATTTTGCTGCCTAACTCTCACTGCATCCAAGTTCTTAGATTGTAAGTCTTTAATCTGATGTTTCACTAACTCTGAATTACGTGCCATCTTGACAGCTTTTGTGAGTGTAAGTTCAGATTCAAGCTGTAGTTTCTCGCTTAGTTCCTTGTCGATAATGCCCACAACTAACCTGTCACGAATTTGGTCGTTCTTATCTCTAAAATCACAGTGCGCCGCCAATTTGTGCAAACTTCGGACGAATTCCTCAACTGACTCTCCCTGGCGTTGGCTCCGGATGTGGAATTTGGTGCGCTCATGAATCACGTTTTTCTTTGGAACAAAATATTTGTCCAAACTTTCAAGAACCTTCTTGAACTTCTTCTCATCACCATTAGAGAATGCGAAGGACTTAAATATCCCCTCTGCTTCCGGTCCCATGGCGTAAATAAAAGAACTTATCTGTATTTGTTCATCCTCGTCGGTCAGCTTCGTCGCGATCTGAAAACGTGTGAATCGCTGCTTCCATTCCGGCCATTCATTCGGCCTGGTGAAGGCGAAATTTTCTGGGGGGTTGAACTTCGGCATGCTGGCGACTTCTACACTTCTGACACCATGTTTGGATGGCTTGGTTCGTTAAATATAACGCCGAGTTCATATACACATGTTTATTCAATATGGCGCTAAAACTACACATACACATTAGGTCGTACATCAAAAGGTTACACATTGCCTAGATAGTTCGTACGATAGCACATTTAGTAAACAGCTATATTGATTATATAGGGAAAATGCATAAATTCTTTCAAAATCTTCTTCTCTGCTCCTGGATATTATTCAAACAAAGGAAGTGCATGGTTATGATAAAGAAGAATGACTCTTCCAAAATTGTGAAATGCATGGCCCTTGGGTCAGGGGTTCTTCTGAAGGGGAAGGGGCTCTATTGATTATATAGTGAAAGTGCATCATTTCAAAATATTTTTTTTTCTACTACTGGTTGTAAAGCAAAGAAACAAGTGTATTGTTATGATAAGCAAGGGTGCTTCTTCCAGAATTGTGAGTTCATGGCACCTGGGTCAGATGTTCTGGTGTAAGGGTGGGGATTTATTTATTTACTAATATAGTGAAAATGCATTTCTTTGAAAACTTCTATGCTTCTGGGCATATTTGAGGCAAAAGGGTAAAAGTTTTGATATGCAAAGTTATTTTTACCAGAATTTTGAACATCTGGACCATTTAGTCAAGTGTTCTGGTCCTAGCCAGGGCTCTATTAACTTGTATTCTGCTGAGCAAAGTTATTCCCCTTTGCCATTCACCTTTGATAATGAATCACTGTAAACAATGTATTTGAAAGGTTAATAGAATACAAGAATTATGCAGGAATATTTGTTGTTTATAATACAAAAAGTAGTTTCATAGTTTTAATTATCAGATAGACTTAGAAATAATAGATGAATAGAAATGAGACAAAAATAACTTATCTTTTTAAATGTTCTTCAAAGGCCAAGAGAGGCCAATGTGAGAAGTAATAATATGGGGTTAAAAAATAAGACATTTTGTTAATAGTCTGCAGGGAAAAAGTGTTAAATGGGGGACAGATAGATACTAGACCAATTATTTTGTTGATGCTAATCATACTATTTTTCTTGGTTTTGGGCAACAAAGCTTCATTTATCAGTTTATGGATCGTCTAAATTGTTATATTGTACTCAGGTGACCGTTAAGGCCCTTGGGCCTCTTGTATAGGGAAAAAGTCTTTTAAAACTTCTCTTCTTACGAACAAGAAAGCTGTGATGAATCATTTTGTAAATGTGGAAGCATCCTTAGATGAAGTAGATTCAAGTTTGTTGAAATCTTGAACCCCAGGGGTAGGAAGGGGCCACAATAGATAATCGTGCATGTAGTTTTACTTGAGAATTTATAGGAAAAGATTTGACCAACCTTTTCTGAAGAACAGGTCATAATTAGTCACATAGAAGCATCCTCTGGAAGTGTAAATTTAGTTTTATTAGGGCCCGACTCTGCTGGCGCCCTATAGTGATCAGTCTGTCCATCCATCTTTCCGTCCATCCATCCTTCCATCCGTCCGAGATGTCTTGTCCAGAGCATATCTTCTCTCTCCTTGGCCCAATCTGGCTCATACTTCACCCACAGAGTGTCTTTGGGTAACTGGTGTGCAGTGACCTTGAACCATGTTTCTAGGTCTAAGGTTAAGGTCATAGCAGAATTATAGAAAAATCCTTGTCTGGAACATATCTTGGTCCAGTGTGACTCATACTTCACTCACAGAGTGCCACTGGTCAATGGATGTGCAGTGACATTGAACAAAGTTTCTAGGTCAATGGTCAAGGTCAAAAATAGCCTCTCTGTTTAAAATCTTTGTTCGGTGCATAATTTCTTTCCTTTAAGTCAAGTCAGCCTCAAACTTTGCCAACTGACTTAGGGTACGGAACATTTGTAATTTTTCTTCCATATTTTGATAGAAGATATGCAACAGTTTTCGTGATTTTTGTGCCCTTTTTGATAGAGAGTATGGAGCACTTGTTATTTTTGTGCCATTTTTTATTATAACAAGGATGACATAGAAGCTCTTTAGACTCAAACAACACATCCCTTAATGGTACACAAATGTTCCTCTGCAAAATAAACCCTTTTCAGCTATCTTACATTTTCATGTTCATTGCTGAAAGCAGGGCACTTTGAGATGGCAACCATCTCATTGATATCTAGTTAAAACTATTGCCCCTGTATATAGGATGGGGCCAAAAAGGCAAATCTCAATTTTACCAAGGAAAACATATGTATAATGGATAAAAATCTGATGAAGAACAGCAGGGCCAAAGTGACTCAGGTTAGCATTGTGAGCCATGAGCCTATTGTTGGTTTTACATTATTCATCCCTTTTATTTCATTGAATAAAATAAGAATCTGTCATGATATTTCATAGGCAAAAACACAGACGAAAAAACTGAATTGGAATCAAATGAGGTGGATGGTGAATTTGACAATGAAAGAGAAAACTTTTTGGAGGAAATAGGTAAAGCTTTTCATTATGTTCCCCTAAGTGTGGTTCTCAACAAAACAGGATGAAATTTAGAATATAAATAGGTATAATGGATTCCAACATTATGTTACTATCAAAATTGAATGCAAGACCATGCATGCGCGTGCGCGCACGTGCAATGCGAAAAATGACCAATATACTTGATATAGCCGTTACTTCTATACTGTTTGATGAAATGCTTTGATTCTTATAATATAGAGAGATACTAAGAGTGTAGAAAAGATGATATGTCAACATGCACATGCATTCACGTGCGCGCTCGTGCAATGCTAAAATGACCTATAAAACTGACATAGCTGTAACTTTTATACTTTTTGACGAAATGCTTCAATACTTATAATATGGAGAGATATTAATGATGTAGACAAGATAGTTTGGTCAACATGCACATGCATGCATGTGCGTGCGCATGCAATGCTTAAATAAACAATATACTTGATATAGCCATAACTTTTATATTTTTGGATGAAATGTGTCGATACTCAGAATTAAGATGCATTTATAGTATAGACGAGATGACATGACCATCCTGCACATGCATGCCCGTGCGCGCGCGAGTAATGCGTAAAAAAGCAATATACTTGATTGCCTTATTCAATGAAGCTTACAGGGAATAAGACACCAAAAGGGAGTTGGGGAGCGTTTGGGGAACATCTGTAACGGTCCCCGTTACAATTATAACTAGTTTATAATGTGTTCATCACATCATGTTTATTTCCCTTTGACAATGATATTAAAACTAAGTATATTTTTATGCCCCCGGATCGAAAGATCAAAGTTCCAAAGTTTTTACTATAGTAAATCAAAGTTCCAAAGTTTTCACTATAGTAAATCAAAGTTCCAAAGTTTTTACTATTATATAGTAAATCAAAGTTCCAAAGTTTTTACTTTGGTACTATAGTTAGCTATAGTAAACTATAGTTAACTATAGTTTACTATAGTATTTTTTTGTTAGGGATACTTTAGTATTGCCGGAGAATATATTATAATTTATCGCGGGCAAATATACCATTTCACTATATCAGAATAACAAGTTTGAAGCAAGATATGCAAGTATTGCTAGATAAAATTATATTGACCCTGATTGGTTAGATCAAGATATCCTACTCATCGCATTAGACAGTTCAGTCTCCTTGGGTTGTGATGTCATATTTGGTAATCAGTGGGCTCATGATCACCTCCAATGACACCAACAGTGGTCATAAGAAATGAGAAGAGACATAACCTACCTTGAACTGATTCCAGTGGTTTTAGTCATATTCATTAGGTGTCATTCACTTTTTAAATTCTAAAAGCTCATTTTGAACATTCACAATGAACCTGTTTTCTATATATTAAATCAAAAGATATCGAAATCAGAAAGTCATGTCTCTCCTCTCCTTGATTAGAATTGTGCAGTT